AGTTAGTCTCTTGTTTATAGTTTGGGAGACTATTCCTGACAGCGTACATGGTATCTGCGGATGTTTCTGGCACCAAACAATGAGAAGTCCTGACATTCGCACCCCACCAGCAGTGTGGTGTGTAATCTCAAAAGCAGAGTAAGTTTCTCAACCCCAAAGTACCACTGCTTGTTCATCCAGCCTCTGCTTCATCTGGACAACAGGTGGGCACTCAGGAAATGTCTTTTGATGATGGGAGAAGACAGCTTGTTACACACATGGAAAAGGTCTGAAACTTCACGTCATTCACACTCTTTCCATCTCGTCTCCAAGGAGCCTTTGTTGAGCTGGGGGAGCGGGATGGCACTGGGGTGATTGAGTGAAGAAAATGCCCTCTGGTATAAAGCGGGTGATGAGCTCTGGGAGGGCACCAGGAAGGGGAGTTGGGGCAAAGCAAGTTCTGCCCAGGGCATGGTTTGATCGCCTAAGGCTGTGGTTCTCAACCTTCCTCATGCCTCCACCCTTTAATACAGTTCCTCATGTTCCCCCCAACCATAACATTATTTTCATTGCTACTTCATATCTGTTATTTTGCTACTGTTATGAATCATCATGTGACTATCCGACCCAGGCAGGATGTGTTTTCATGGTTGCAAATTGCGCATAATGAAAGCATCGTGATGAGTCACAAACACAATTTGTCATTATAGATTGTGAACTATTTACATCTAATTACAAATAAATGAAATTTTGTCTTGAAGCACGGTGTAGCATGGATAACAGTCTTAATACAACAACAGTAAACTACATCATCGCTACATTTTGCAACTGTATGCGCAAAAAGCCAACATCAGTGAAACGCTGGGATAGCTTCTCTCTCACCAGGTTAGCCTACCTGCATGTGGGCCACCCGCCTAGAGACAGATATGGGCGCGTGTCTCGGTTCCTTAGGCGCCCCTGTGAAAGGGTCGTTCAACCCCCAAAGGGGTCTGGACCCGCAGGTTGAGAACCGCTGACCTAAGGCCATCTGTCCCTGAAGGCAGGACGGGGAGAAAGATGTCTCAAGGTGTTCACGAAGTCTGTTGTGTTAACCCCCTCCTCCAGCCCCCGCGGGCGACGTCAGCACACAGTGCGCCCCTGTGTGTTTGGGGAGTCGGGTCCGGCCTTGCTTTTTGAATACTGGGAGCGCCCACGCGAGACCGGGGGCAGCTTGGGAGGCCGGCGGCCATCTGGGCCAGCTGACAGTGGGCTGGCGCGTGACACCACAGAACTCTCGCAGCGCCAGAGATGGGTTCCATGGCCAAGGAGCGAGGACGCGCCGCAAGGGCGGGGGGCGGCGGGCTCAGCCAGTGCGTGCCACTCAGGGTCCATGTGCTGACCGGTCGGACCACTGCGATCACACAGGAGAGCGCAAGGGACGACGGGGCAGAGCAGTAGTTGGGGAGGTGGGGGTCCGCACCCACACCGCGCGGGGGATGACAGGCGCCTTGGTGGCGCACAGGTTAAGCGCCGGCTCGCGACCTACACCGCGGTCGGTGTGACCCCTGCCTGGAGCGCCGAGGGAAGCGGAAGCTGGATATCGGCCTCAGGACGTCCACTCAGCCAGCCCGGGTCCGAAGGTCTCGGCCCCCAAGCGCAGGGCCCTACGCGGCGGCGGCGACCCGGTGAACCCGCTCCGCCCCCCGGCGCCCTCTTCAGGCGGCGGCGCGCACCGGCGTCCCGCGACCCGGGCTTCGGCACCCTCACTTCCGGGTTCCGCGGCGCTCGCCCACGAGTACTTCCGGTTCAGCGTTCGAAGCCGGGGCCTGGCGCCGTGAGTCCTTGTCGCGAGGGCCCGCATGACTCCATCAACTAGCCCTCGACCCGGCGACGTACTGGTCCGAGCGACAACGGGTTCTTGTCCTTTGCATCATCGCCAAGAGCCCCCTGCCACCGCTACTTCCCTCGAAGGCCCGAGCGCCCGGCCGGCGAGTGACGTAACTTCCGGGGCGTGGCCAGGCGCTGGAGGGCCCGCCCCCCTCTGCGGGGAGGACCCAAAGCCGGCCTTGTTATTTCGGGCGTCGAGTGGCGGAGCGTTCAATTTAGGAGAGACCGGTCTGCACAGGGTTGCCAACTTTAGCAAAAGCACAGGAGTTCATACCGAGGTCCGTAGCGTTTGCTTGTAATTTTTAAGGAAGCCAATTGTGTTTCTTCCGCGGCGCCACTGGGTGGAGTCGCATTGCCCACCCTTTCGTTTCGTCCCCTGGAGAGCACGCGTTTAAATTTGCACTAACGATTACTCTCCCCCCCGCCCCCCAAATTTCACCTGTAACAGTGTTCTGTATAGGATTTGGCAACCCCAGCCCTGGGCTGTGGTGTCTCCCGGGCCCTTGCCCATCTGGGAAACAGGTATGATATGGGCCCACTCCCTCCAAACCAAGGCCTTTGCTGGATGTGAAGGCTGCCATGGCCAAACTCCAGTGGCCCGCCTGGCCAGAGCTGGACACACTTTCCTCGGTCCCCATGCCCCAGCCCCTCCTGTTCCCTTTACAACAGAGAATGCTGGGAACCGGGCAGGCTGGGTGGCCCGGGGCTGATCACTGCCAGGTGACTGGTGTGTGAGAGAAAGTGGTATTGGAGGCCAGGTTTCCTGAGGGACAGTGGACAGCATCAGAGAACATGAGGTTATTAGAAGAGTCACCCGGGACAGCTGTGGGAGCTGGAGCCCTGGCCCCAGGCTCCTTCCCCTGCTCCACCCACACTTGCCGATGTGGTCCTCACGCAGCGCTGAGGGGCAGGGAGCACTTGTTAAAGTGCACGCCTTGTGGCAGGTCAGTTACTTGCTATTCCTAAACCCTGCAGTCCCCTGACCTTCACCCTAGGGCCTCTGCAGCTTTTCCTCTGCCCAGTGGGGAAAATGGCTCTTTGGGCTCAAGCGTGGTGTGACCCAGGACTTGTTCTGTTATCAAAACAAGTGTTCTTGGCAGGGGTAGGTCTGGCTAGCTCTTGTGGGTGGAAGGGCACCCTTCCCTGTCCACCCTTCCTGTGGACGGGGCCCTCAGGACTTCTGCAATCGTCCACCTGGAGCCAGATTTGCTGCAGCTCCTGATCTGAATTTGAACTCTTGCCTGGCTGACCTGAGGTCTAGCGTCCCCCGAGCTCTGGGGAAGTGCTTTGGCCTGGCCTGGCAGCGCCCAGGGGCAGCCTCCTCACAAAGAGCCAGCCTTCCCAGGTGCCCCAGCCCCGTCCCCTGAGCCAGAGACATGGAACAGGCTGGAGGGCAGTGGGCTGGGGGTCATTTGGTGGGACAACCAAAAGCATTCTGGCCCTGGAAGTGACAAAGAGGTCAGGCTGGGGTGCCAGAAAGGGGCGTTGCTGCCGAAGTGCAGGGGGTGGGGTGGGGCGGGAGCCCACTGATAGGAACAGCTTTCTCCAGGAATGATTAACTCAGCCCAGGGGTGACCCAGGAGGAGGGCTCAGCTAACAGGACCTTTGGACTCAGGCAGAGTGTCCAGAGGCCAGCGTGTGGTCTGCAGGAGGGGAGGACATGGCCGGGTGGCAGGGTTTGGCTCCGAGGACTCAAGTGGGACCAGGCTGCACTGGGTCTCAGGAAGTCTCCCTGGGCTGGACCTTGGCCCAGGCTGACTGCTGCAGCAGCTGTGGGGTCCGCCAGCCCTGAGCCTTCAGGGGAGGCCTGTGTGGCTGTGTGTTGGCCCTCACTCCTCTTTTCTCCCCTCTAGGCAGCCATGGGGAGCAGGCAGTGCTGAGCATCCTGGGGCATGGCTGCAGCCCTGCTAGGCCTGGCCCGAGCCCCCGTGCGCCCACTTCCCTGGGCGGGCCTGGCGGCCCGGCTGGCCAGCAGCATGGCCCTGCCGGAGCAGTCACAGCAGCTGTTTGAGAGTGCTGTGGGTGCTGTGTTGCCGGGCCCCATGCTGCACCGGGTGCTGGCCGTGGACCCCAGTGGCAAGCAGTTGAAGGTGCGGGACCGGAGCTTTCACCTGTGCAACAACCTGTACCTGGTGGGCTTTGGCAAGGCCGTGCTGGGCATGGCGGCTGCCGCCGAGGAGCTGCTGGGCCAGCATCTGGTGCAGGGCGTGATCAGCGTGCCCAGGGGCATCCGCGCTGCGGTGGAGCGTGCCGGCAAGCAGTAAGGAGGCCGCTGGGGGGAACCTGGGCCCCACTGAGTCAGGCTCCCCCACCCTCCCATGGTCCCCTGTTACCTGGGCCTGCCCTGGCTCCAGGCTGGTTGCCAACGGGCATCCCTGTTCATGCTTTTCATCTGAGCCGTTGGGGCAGTAGGTGGTGGGGGTTGGTGGGCAGAGAGGAGCTAGAAGCCCCAGGCCTTGACAACAGCCCCCTTCTGTGCTCTGGGTCTTCAGCGAGATGCTGCTGAAGCCTCACAGCCGCATCCAGGTGTTCGAGGGCGCCGAGAACAACCTGCCGGACCGGGACGCGCTCAGGGCCTCGCTCGCCATCCGGCAGCTGGCTGAGGCGCTCACGGCCGACCACCTGCTGCTGGTGCTCATTTCAGGTGTGCTGCGGCTTGGCTGAGGGGTGGGGGCGGGGCCTCCAGATCGCAGGTGTTTCAAAACTGTGGCGTCTGAGCGCCTGGGCTCAGGGCAAACTGTGAGAGTAAGGGTGACTGACTCCTGGTGCCCCCGGCCAGTTGTCTGCCCTCTCTTTGCGCCTCCCTGAGGCTGAACTGACTTCAGCCATGGTGAGGGGCTCCCCGGGGTTCCCTGAGGACAGGACATGCCGAGGCTGCTGCTGCTCTGGTGTTACTGTGCATGTGTGGGGCGACCGGAAAAGGACCTTGTCTCCAGACCCCGCGGTGCCTCTGCTTCCCCCTGTGCAGAGCTCCCCCAGGAAGCGATTCCCAGTGGCTGCCCTGGGCACCCCAAGCTGAGAAGCAGCCCCGGGTGCCCAGGGTTGGGGCCCTCCCATGTGCCCTTTCCTGGCATGTCCACAAGGGGGCGCCGAGAGCCCAGCTGCTCAGCATTGCTTCCTTGGTGTGGACAGAGAGAGCTCGAGGTCCCTCTGCAGTCCCCTGTCCCCTGATAGCCCCGCTCTCCCTGCAGGCGGGGGCTCTGCCCTGCTGCCCGCCCCCATCCCCCCGGTGACCCTGGAGGAGAAGCAGATGCTCACCAAGCTGCTGGCCGCCCGGGGAGCCACCATCCAGGAGCTGAACACCATCCGCAAGGCCCTATCTCAGCTCAAGGGAGGGGGGCTGGCGCAGGCCGCGTACCCGGCTCAGGTGGGCGTCCCTTTTCTCAGGTACCAGGGCCCTGCCTGCCAGAGCCTCCAGGGCCAAGCTGGCTGAAGACTTGGGAGGGACTCCCGGGCCGGCAAGGAGCATCCACATGGCTGTGTGCCTTGGGCCCCCTTAGGAGGGTGCATAAATGCACAAGGAATGGTTTGCCCTTCTGGGCTGAGCCCTGAGCCATGCCCCATGCCTAGGTGGTGAGCCTGATCCTGTCCGACGTGGTGGGGGACCCCGTGGAGGTGATCGCCAGCGGCCCCACTGTGGCGAGCTCCCACAGCGTGCAGGACTGCCTGCACATCCTTACCCGCTACGGCCTGCGGGCTGCCCTGCCACGCTCAGTGAAGACCGTGCTGGCCCGGGCCGACTCCGACCCCCGAGGGCCACACACCTGCGGTCACGTCCTCAACGTGGTCATCGGCTCCAACCTGCTGGCACTGGCGGAGGCCCAGCGGCAGGCCGAGGCGCTGGGCTTCCGGGCGGTGGTGCTGAGTGCAGCCGTGCAGGGCAACGTGAGAACTGTGGCCCGGTTCTACGCGCTGCTGGCCCGAGAGGCGGCAGCCCACCTCACCTCCGCTGGGGCGGCTGGGGCAGAGGACACGGAACTGCATCAGCTGGCGGCCCAGCTGCAGCTCCCAGACCTGCGGCTGGAGGGGGCCCTGGAGGCCGTGGCGGGGGCTCGGGGTCCCATCTGCCTGCTGGCTGGTGGCGAGCCCACGGTGCAGCTCCAGGGCTCCGGCAGGGGCGGCCGGAACCAGGAGCTGGCACTGCGTGTCGGGGCGGAACTGGGGCGGCAGCCGTTGGGGCCTGTTGATGTGCTGTTTTTCAGTGGTGGCACGGATGGGCAGGATGGGCCCACAGATGCTGCCGGGGCCTGGGTCACAGCAGAGCTGGCCAGCCAGGCTGCTGCCGAGGGGCTGGACCCAGCCGCCTTTATGGCCCAGAACGACTCTCACACCTTCTTCTGCCGCCTCCAGGGCGGGGCTCACCTGCAGTACTCAGGGCTGACAGGCACCAACGTCATGGACACCCACTTCCTGCTCCTGCGGCCGAGGTGATGCTGGCCGCCCTTGGGAGACTGGCTGGCCCCAGGCCTCGCCAAGCTCAGGCCCGAGCAGTGGGGCTGACCCTGACTCTCCACCCACTGGAGGGAGCGCTCCCTACTGTCTGCTCCCTCAGCAGTGGGCCTTGAGGGCCCACTCATTGTCCCCCAAGCCCCCAGCCTGTGTCTGTGGGGGAGACGTGGAAGAATAAAAGGACCACCGAGTGGAGTCTGCACAAGTCTTCTCCCAGGCGCGCGTGCACACACACACACAGTGGACTGGGGCTGCCGCCACAGTGCCAGGTTCCCCCGTCCCTGCAGGGCCCTTCTCTCTTGCATGTGGGCTGGGCTGGCCCCCATCATTCTGTATTCAGGAAACTCCAGGCAGACACATTGAAGGACTGTCCACTGTCCAGCTGTAACCCCCCAGGGCTGTGGCATCCTTCTCACGGTCTGCCCAACCTCAGTTAGGAGGTCTTGAGGGTGGTGCTTACCACCCCTCCACCTCTGGCCAGCTCTCTGCCCCCGACAGCCCCTCCATGGCCGACCTCTGGCTGTCCTGCCTCCCAGCCCTGAGACACAGCCTGTTGCCTCCTGCGGCCCTATCCCAGAAGAACATCCCCGGTGCCTTCAACTGACCCAGCTGCCTCCAGTGGAGGGGGGGCGGGGGTCAGAGCGGTGAGGGTTACAGCAGCCTGGTCCCTCCCCCGTCACAGCATCTGGGGAGGAGTGGAGTTGGGAAGGGCCACTGAGGGGGGGGGCTCTTGGCCTCACTGGGCAGAGGAGGGGGGCGCTCAGACCCCGTGTTCAGTGTCGGTGCCGTCCGCCGGCTGCCCCCACCGTCCGCCACGGCTCCCATCCCTATGTGAGTGACCATAGAATCACATAGGAATGAAAAGCCATAGAGAGCAGCGAGGCCTGGCGCTGCCGCCGCGCCCTCCACAGCCATCCCCCCCTCGGCGCTGGCCTGGCCCCGGGACTGTCCCTCTACCCCACTTGGCTCTGCACAATGTCCCTTGCAGGTGGTTTGTGACCCGGGGCTCGCACAGGGCCGGCTGGGGCTTGGGAGGGAAGGAGGGGCCAGGCAAGCTGCTCTGGGGATGTTTGGAGGAAGAGGACTCCGTCCCTCCTCCGGCAGCTTCGGGCATGTCCTGCCCTGGTCTCGGTGCTTGTCCTCAGGGCTGTGCTGGCCCCAAGCCGCAGCCCCAGGCAAGGGGATGAGTGCAAAGGGCTGTGGCCAAGGGCCAGCCACTGGGTCCCCTGTGCATGTGCGTGTGCAGCACAGGGTGTGAGTGTGGCGTGCTGGGAGAGCAGGCCTGCAGACACTCAGAGACACAGGGCGGGCTGCCCCCGCCCACCCACCTGCGTGGGTCTGAGCTGCTCTGGACATCCTGTTCTGGACTTTGCTGGGGGCATCCCTGCTCCCTGCGCTGTGCCTGTGTGCAGGGACTGGGTGGCCAGGGACTGGTCCAGGCCACCAATGATCTGGCTCTACTCAGGCCGACTTTGCTCACCCAGCATGTGGGGTGAGGAAACCCAGGGTCAGCTGCTGTCTGGGAGCTAGAGTGAGGGGGCTAGCGCGCTGCAGGCCTGGGTCTCCACTCGGTGAGGACAGGCATGGCGCGGAGCAGTGATTTATTTCATTTTAACCCCCAGGGTTCTGCTCTTGTACCTTCTTGCTGGCCGTGCTGGCAGCTAGCGGGAGAGGCTGCCCACGCTGGGGGCTGACATCAAGGGAGCCACCAGCATCTTGGCCCCCACCTGCAGAGTAGAGGTGCACCCTCCCCATACCCACAGGATCAGGGGTGCCTGGAACTCCGGGCTCCAAGGCTGTGGAGCACTGGGCAGACAGACTTCCAAGTGCTTCTCTACCTGGATCGCCAACCCCTCCACACCTTTGCTCATCTGACCCCCAACCTGTCATGTGCTAGAGGGTCAGGCCCCGGGGCCCAGGCCTAGGAGAGATTGTTAGTGCCCCGTCTAACACACCAGTGGACACTGGAGGGCCCCAGTGCATGCTGGGCGAATGCTGACCGAATGGGCAGATCCCCCCTGCATTCCTGAGACACCCCCTGACTGCTTCCCACTCCCTGCCCTCCGTTCTCTGCACGTGGCCTGGGCTGTCTACTCAGTCAAACCCCGTTCATTGAATGCTCAAGTAACAGAGACGCCAGGTGGCTGGTCTGGGGTTGCCCAGCACGTCGGCTGTAGGACCAGGAGAGAGCTTGGCTTGGACAGCCTCTGCCCACCCTCTGGGGCCCAGCCAGACCGGGCCCCTCCAAGGCTGGGCTTAGAAATGGGGCCACACCGGGCCCCTCTGGGCTATGTAAAGCAGGTCAGTCGGAGAGCAGAGGTCAGACACTGCTTTCATGAGGGTTCAGTCTTGGAACCCAGGGGAAGCCCCACGCTGCCTGCAGGCTTGCCGTGCAGGCGAGCCTTGCCAGGGGCAAGGAGCATGTTGTGTATGTGTGATGGGAAGGACCCTTGGCAGGGCAGCGGCTGGACACTTGGCTGCCCATTGCAATGCCCAGTGTCCCTCCACTCAAGTACTCCCTCAATGCAAGAACACTTTGTTCTATTAAACTGGCATTCCATGATGCTCACCTTCCCCACAC